GTGTTCGGAATCCAGCCCTCAGAAGGAAGATAGATCTATTTGAGTTCTCAACTTCTTGGGTTGACATGTTGGCACCCCAAACCCCCAAACCCGTTCAATCTACCTCTAACATTTAAATTGCCAAAAAATCGAAAAGTCAAACAGTCGAGAGCTTTTTGTCCAAGTCTTTTTCCTTAGTTCTTTCCTCTTTTCTCTTCTCCTTTCTTAATTTTTTTTCGGTTTTAGTGAAGAACTGGTGATCTTGTTTTGGTCGACAGATGTGCGTCCGTTTCACCCAGGATGCCGATAGCAACCTTGGCACTGCAGAATGCAATGAAGAAAATCGAGCGGGATGTCTCCGCCTCTTGGGCAAGATGACATGACCCCCCTATGAACTCTATGCCATCATCCACCCCCCCACTAGCACGGAACCTGTTCTGCAGTGTTGCTTTCGAACAAAAGCCACAACTCGTGTAAAGTTCGTAAGTTGCTGCCACGAATCCGGGCCGATTTATATAGTAGTCAGATTGAGAAGGGGTGGTGCAACCGCATGGCAACACATCGTGCCAAAGCTTAGGAGAAGGACGAGCAGGCATGGTGGCGCAGACGGTGGTAGAGACGAGCTTACTGTAATTGATCCACAACAGCTGGTTAGACCAGATTTTTGAAAAACATTTCTCAACATACTCTTGTTCCTTAATGCTGCTGGCCCCTGCACGGCACTGGGTTCGGGTTCTCGGACATGTCCAAGAACTAAAGCGGCATACTGGACCGTCATTGTGTGCGTGCATGCTTACACGTCCTTGCAGGCTGCGTAGGCGTTTGTAGGTGCATCGGTTCTCTCTGGGAGGCGAATTCCACGTTGAAGCAGCCGGAGCCTGTCCAGCCACAGGCTGGAGAAGTGCTACATGTATTGATTTCGTTGCCAGCTGTTCTGATTGGAAGTTATAGAGTGATGAGCCGCGGCAATCAGAGACTCACTTGAACTGGGGAAAACCTCATTTCCATGGTGTCTTCGACAGTCGGCGGTCAAAACCTTTGATGGTGAAGCTCCCTCTGAGTCCTATGTGGAGGCGCCCATCATAGGCGCAGACGGGAGAAGAAGTGTTCGTTGACCTTATTAGTTTGGTTGGTTTGACCAGAGCCTCGGAGCGCAGTTTTCTTTTTGGCCGTGCCAGGCCCAGGCAGGCCAGAACTGCAGCCTGGGTCGCAAGTTCAGCGGAAAGCGGCACTCGAGGCGAGGCGGCCAGGTTTGTTGAGCCATCTGATCGAAGCTGCGAAGCCATCCAGGAGATGCATCAGGAGATTGCACAGATGCATGCAGCGGGCACCAGGCCTGAATGTTTGGAGCAGTTTCTTTAGCTTAAGTTTCCCTAAAAATCTAGAAACCAAATCATTAGTGCTCGCGCTTCTTCAAGGAAGCTTCCCCTGCCGCCTTTAGGGCGGCGGGAGGAGCTTCCTTGAAGAAGCGCGAGCTATCCTGCGTCCTAGGTAGTATCTACCTAGCTACTACTAGCTACCTCGGCCTACCCCCTCCACGCCTACTACCTCTAGCTACTACCTACCTACCCACCCACCTACCTACCTACCTACCTGCCTGCCTGCCTGCCTGCCTGCCTGCCTGCCTGCCTGCCTCCCTACCTACCTACCTACCTACCTACTAAAAAACAAAACGAAAACAAGACGTGAAGATCCGATCGGACCAGCACATTGGACCATTCGGTCAGGATCCACACCTTTTACGACTTAAAATGCCAGCAGCTTCAGCAATACTATGACGAGGACGGGGCTTTATCGCTTCGTTTCTTCTTTGGTGGGGGGGGTAGGCCGCTAGGAGATAGGTAGGTAGTAGTAGCTAGGTAATGGTAGTAGCTAGAGGTAGCTAGTAGCTACAAGTAAGCTACTACTTGGGACCCAGGATAGCTGGCGCTTCTTCAAGGAAGCTCCTCCCGCCGCCCTAAAGGCGGCAGGGGAAGCTTCCTTGAAGAAGCGCGAGCACTAATGATTTGGTTTCTAGATTTTTAGGGAAACTTGCCAAGAGGTTGTGCCAAGCGCTGTAGCGCTGTGCGTCGCGCGCGGTGCGCGGTCAGGAGCTTCATCGCCTTTGTGCTTCGCTGTCTTCGAACCGACAAGTCTGGGAAAATGTCTCCGAGGCCCACGGGCCCCGCAGGTCTGGTCGAACGGTGATCGAGACACACGGAGCACCCACAGAGATTTGAGTGCCAGGTTTGCAAAGTACACATTACACACCATCACAGAATCGCATGTTAACAACACATGGTCATAAACTTCATGATGTATCATGAACATATCTAAAGAAGACCACATAGACCATCATAAACGATCAGCTTCATAAACGATCAAAGAAGCTCTTGCCTACCCGGGCCCGGTTCGGGCCGGTTTACCCTGCCTGTTTCACAGGGACGCGAGCGGCAGCGCCTCCTGGGCGAGGAGATCGCCCGGTCTGCGCGGCGCTGTGAGTATGCCAATGGGGAGGCACGGCAGATGATGAAAGCCATCGATGTGGCTTGGAATGAAATTCCGGTGAATGCCATGGATTGGATCGGTGTGACAGTGTGAGAGATTATTGTTTTGTGGTTTTGGGATGTTGGGGGAGATTTGGGATTTATTTTATTGGATCAGTTTGTCAATATATGGATGAGACCCACGGATTCTTGTTTCCGTCTATGTGAGGGATGCTCTTAGGGTCTCACTGCTGTACAGTTGCACCCAGCAAAATAGCATATCTCTTGACCGGCCACCTTTTCTTCTGGCGTTTGGATGGTTTTGGGAGAGGCCGACCTACCGAGACCTGCCCAAATTCCTCCAAATTGGATCTGACAAAGCAAGAGTGTTGCCACCCTGTATGGATTCCAACGGCTTCCTAAGGAGCATGACGAGTATACGAAGAAGATGTTTAACTGGAAGAGGAAAATGCTCAAAGCACAAGGCGATTTGCAACATGAGATGCGTGTCTTGGACTCAAGTAGAGAACTGAAAGGCAAAATTCAACTTCAAATTTGTGAAAGCCACGCAGCGAGGCAAATACGAGCGAGATGGTTTGGTGGATGTGAGCAAGATGGCCACTTCACTTGAATGCTTCCATGAAATGTTCTGAAAGCATGAGAGGTCCATGCAGGTAACGACTCCTTTTGTGCCAGTGTCTCTATGACGGGGCAGGGTGCAAGCAGACTTGAAGCCTTTGTTGGAAAGAGCCAGGAAAGCGAGCTTGGAAAATTAGATGCGCAGCTGCAGCATTTGTCACGGCCTCGGTGATGGGGACCCTTTGAACCCTCCTACCCATGCTCAAAATCTTGCCATTGGAATCTGCATGCGGTGCACATCAGACTTGCAGCTTTGGTGCCCCTTGAACTGATATGGTGGCCCAGGGGTGGCAAGCTTCCTTTCCCACAGACGCCATGCCAGGTCCACATCTGTTCCAGCTGACCAGCTGATTGAGCTGATTCAGCGGCGAAGCCGAGTGGAGCGATTGAACATGAAGCGCACCATGCGTCATGAAGGGCATTTGCTTCACAAGGCGCACCATGCGCCACGCCAGCCGCGCGGGATCCGCGCACCGAACCGTGCAGGCTGCGGCCAAAGTGCAGGTCATCCGTGCGGAGTTGGAAAAGGGGGCCCAGGAGATGAAAAGCTAAGCTGATTCGGCTTGAGTTAGAAAAAAAGGCATGACATAAGAAACGCCTTCAGGATCAGGAGGATGAACCCTTTGCGGAGCTCTTGATGGAAGAGTGACCTGGCCAATGTGTCATGGAGGCTCAGAAGGTCAAGTTATCTAGTCAGATCCAGAACGTTCCAAACGGGAAAGGTCAATGTGCAAATGCTTGATGCAATCGTAGTCGTAGTCGCTTTCATTGAACATAAATGACCTTCTTTGGAACACTGGGCCGACGAGAACGCTCGAGTTCGAGAGCACTGCTGAGGTGTGAAGCTTTGTCACGACGGATCGTGGCGTTGGACCAAGAAAACAAGGTTTTACAAGATCAACTCCTGAAGACAGGCAGCTCGGCACATTGTTCAGCCATTCGCCCCAACAAAGCAACAACGGTAGCAGCAAAGAACAAAGGGGCATTGGCCTTCACTTTCCCGGGTTAATCGTGGGACTGAAGATCGGGTTCACCATTCTGAATCTTGGCGACGTGCCCTGAAGCCGAGGTGACATTGACCTTATGGTTTACCAACCCCGTCTCTTGGCGAAAGAACCTGTGACACATGATCGGATGCCGAAGAGGAAAAAGGGTTTTGCATGGTTCCGAGTGGTAGTGATCCCAACCCAAACTGCTGAAAGAAGCTCTTGTCAAAGTGTGGTGAGTGTCATGTCGCACGCCGGGACGCCAGTTGAGGCCAGCCATCCTTGCACTGAGACACAAGCAGGACGAATGTACCAACAGCACCGATTCTCCACGTTTTTTCCTCCCTTTCAGGAGGGCCGGCCCTTTCTGGCCCTTTTGTACTAATAGCAATGGTCTCCAACCGACTAGTGACTGGCGATTGCCTCCGTGGTTCCTTTCACTCCAACATGACCCAGGAACTCACGTCGCTGTCGCCGCCGTTCGTTCTCGTCTCCGACGTCAGGTGCCGAGCGCTCGGAGTGCCGCGGCGGCACTTCCGCAGCCGGGGGTCGGAGGGTCGGGCCAAAGAGCTGAGAGCTGGTGCATGTTGGAGCGAGAGGAGCTGCTTTGGTTTTGACCGACCCGAGGATCTCCAGGAGTTGTTTTTGAACAAAGCCTTGGTCATTCTTAATTATGGCTTGGAAGGGTGCGACTGCGCACTGCACATGGATTCTGTGGCTCCCAAGACTCCCCTCAAGGCCACAAACGTGGCAGCCACCATCACGAGCAGCTCCCGAGCAACTTGGTGCAAAGCGACATTGAACCTGCACGGAGAGACTGTACCACCAAAGCTTAGACTGTCGTGAGAAGTGCAACCTTCAAGCTTGACATCCCGCCATATCGGTGTGTTTCGGCTCAAAGATAAGCACCTTCAGGATCAGAGGAATCCAAATGAGGTCCTCTTGGTCTCATGACTCACAGCAAAGCAAGGCAAGATTGCCTCCTTTGAGTCGTTCGCCTGTGCCAGGGGACGTTCCTGTATCTAAGTTGCACTGAAGATCACTGAAGTGTGCCCTGAGTATTCCTGAGTGTTTTTGGTGGAGCTGTGTGCCCAGATGGCACAGCAACGCCTGGCTTCACGTACACAGGCCTGCTGTTTCATCTGAGGCATGCAAATCTTCTTCCGTTTTGTCCGCCTCGGGTGTTTTGGCACGCCGAAGACCAGAACCTCACAGACTTGACCCACTGCAAGGCATGCGCACATGGCCAAGGAGCTAAAACCCATACCTTCAGACAGCCATGATGATTCGTTTTTCACAGACTGATGTCATTTGCCTTGTCGTAGTCAGTAGTCGGGAGTTTGGGGATGCAATATGATGCAATGATTCGAGTTGGCGAAGGCAGGTCAGACCAAACAAAGTTTCTAACCTCGTCAAGTTTACGTCATCGAACTGTGTCAGGTCTTTCGTCCTCTGCTAGCTTTGAAGTGACGCCCTCCGTTGCGTCCAATGCAGATGCTGATGCTTTGAAGGCGAAGGCGAAAGCCAAGGCTGGTCTCATCACTCGGAGAGAGAACTTTTGATGTACAGGGGGATCATCAGGGATCTACATTCCCATCGCATCACAGATCGCAGCTCAATTTCGGGGCTCAATCTTACATTCTGAAGTTAGACGCCTGGCCCCAGTAATTCCGCTGATCCTTAACCGGAAAGCTGCGAGTTTCCAGCATCGCCAGCTATGAGTGCAGGTCTTAGATGGTAAGGCATTGGCAGAGGAGCTTGCAGGGAAGCCGGAAGTGCAGCGGGAAAGCGTTGACGAAAGAGTGCAGATGCTTGGTTTTCAACATGGCGTGGCATGATGTGTGAGATCAACTCTTGGTCCACCACGTCGGTAGAAGGCTTTGATGCTAGAGAATGTTAGATGCCTGCATGCTAGAAACATAGCTGAGAGGTCTCACAAAACACACCGACCGGCATACTGAGTCTGGATTTTCACAACGTGCCCGGCAATTCCTAGGAAGAAGGCCAAAGCAGTGGCATCCCTCCAGAAGCTTTTCTTTGAGGAGCTGAGAGATTCAGGGGACCGGAACGCTGCAGCAGCGACCGCTCTGCGGCGTTTGGTAGAAGAACGCCCTGAGGAGTACAATTTGAGCCCTATCTATACCAGCAGGGTGAGTCTGTGCAAATGTTCGCTTTGCCTTTTCTTAGGATTGGATTTGTGTGCTCTGACCTCCTTTTTTCAATCCGAGCTGAGGACTGTCACCTGCCCTTGAAGAGGACCTGGTGGCAGCTGACAGCATCTTAGGCTGAATCTTAGGTAGGCTGGAAGCAACTGCTCAGATTTTTGTGCGCCTCCTTTGTGAGATTCGCATCTCGGACCATCAATGCAAGGGGCTTGGTGAGTAGAGCTTGATCAAAGATTACCATTGTCACAGGGCTTATAGTCTTTGATATTCCTCATGTTGCAACGCTCCATCGTTAGCACAGCCCCACTTGCAAACTGCCAGGAAGCCATGGGTGTTTCCACAACAAGCATCGACATACTTTTGCTGTTGAATCTAGCCTAGCCTTACCCAATCTCCATTTGCGACAGTACTCCTGAACCTGGATGTTGGAGAGAGGGGGCTCACAACTCTGGCATTGGGAAACACCCATCGAGCATTGAGTCCTAAGTGACATTCGCAATACTTGCAGTGCAAGACAGCTAGAGCTTCGCTGCCAAGCTAGTGTTTTGGCGCAATTGGCGAAGCTGCCGGAGTACTTGTATGGACGCCTCGCAGGGGATGCATCACAGATGTCTCACGAAAAAAACATGAGAGAGATGCACCAGCGAATTCGAAAGCGCCAGACTCGCGAACAACAACTGTTGGCGGCCAATTGTTCATAGACTGAACTGATCAAGACAGCAAAAAAGGTTGTCCAATTGTCCATTCGTGCTGAACTGCCAGAAGCTTATGATAAATGTTGCTAGCTTAGCCCACCTAGCTCACTTGACTTAAGTCTCCCCGCCGGCAGCTTGTACTCAGGGCCTTCAGAGATACCACCTTCGAGCAGGACCTGTGCTTTTCAGAGCCTCGTCAGAATGAGACAAGCGACAGCCTGTACAAATTGAGAACAGCAGTGAGTTAGGACAGGCACCTGCAGAGAAATACGTACATTAATGTACATTACATCTCATATATACATATATATATATACACCTATACGTAAATATAACATTTTTGTAGCGGTGTGTATATGCTGTAAATAAACACACACACACATATATATATAGCATATCGTGCGTTTGTGGCCGAAGCCCCAAATCCAACGTGATGCTAGGGGGCTCTCCTGTGCAAACTTTACAGTCTTGTCACATGCATGTGGGACACAGTCTCAGCTCTAGGTTTAAAGTCGGACCCACATGTTGCTTTCATGGTGGGCTCGGCATCCGGGAGCCAAGGTGAGCTTCATGAAGCCACCGAGAGGCCTACCCATCAGTGGGGGTGGTTCTCATTGTTGACATTCGACATGCGCATGGACGCGGCTGATGAGAGGTGCATCGTATTGCATTGCATCCTGCGGCTGTTGGATCAATCAAACAGTTTGGCAATGGCCATGGTACCAGCTCATGTCGCGTTGAGAGTCGTGGCGTGGCCTGAGCGGGGGGCCACCGGTCTTTGGAGGACCGGTTTGCAGTGATGGGAAAAGGCAAGCGTGGCCCTGGTGATGAGGAGGAAGGAGTGTCTCAGCATGCGGTTGGCGAAGTCTTTTGATTCCACCCTCACGCCCGCTTCTGCCCGGATATTTTTGCGCTCGCTGCACTCCCTCAACTCCATCAATCCAAGCTACAGTCAGAGCAGCGATAAGACAAACACACTCAATCAAAGCGGACGAGGAGGAAGGAAAGAGGAACCAATGGAGATACTGTCCACTTACTCCTGTCCAGCTACACCAATTGGTGTCAAGAATAAGTAAGTAAGCAAGCAAGCATGCAAGCAAGCAACGAAGTAAGTAAGTAAGTAAGTCAGTCAGTCAGTCAGTAAGTAAGTAGCCATTCTCCACGCTGTCCTCTTTGACCAGGTGTTGTTGGCCACAGCCGCCAAGCTTGTGACGGCAGTCCGTGCCTGCTTGGGGAAGCTTGGCATGTCTTGGAGTAGGAACGGCAGCATCATCGCCTGACACTTTGTCTCGAGACTGCTAGACCACAGGCCCCAGGCTTTGGGCTTTGAGCACCGATCATCTCAGAAAAAGCGAGCATTCAACGTTCAAACAAGAGAAGGAATAGAAACGCACCTAGATGCTGAAGTTTCCTCGAAAAATTTAGGACTCAAATCATTCGTGCGAGCGTGAGCTATTCTTCGCCCTAGGTAGTAGCATAAGTAGCTATATAGGAGTGAACTTCTCATTAAGCAGGTACGTACTTAATTAGGTAGTAGGAGGCAGGCCTACCGGGCTAAAAAAGGAAATGAGTTCATGCTTTCCACGCTCCATTCACCAGGAAGTTTTCTTCCTCGAAGCCACCAGAGCCTGCCACAGAGGTCGTCGAGCTGCTTCAGGCTGAGCGACCCAAGCTGATTTCCAATGTTTGAGCCATGGATGCCAGCTTACACGGACTTGTAGCGTGTGTAGAGGGGTACCTTGGGACGTCAGGGGAATGTTTTGAGAGAATTCTTGCAACTTGAGCCACAACCACCGTGTACATTGAGTATTGCTTTTTCTTGGGGTGGGCTGGCCTGGAGGACATGAAGATTACGCCGCGCTTCTTGCTTGAGCTCTAGCCTTGCTGTTTGATGTACGGATTGCCAAGACCGGCCCCACATTTTGCCAAGAACATACAGTACCGCAAATGAGCAATGTTATCATCTAGTCCGTTTTGCGTCTGAACGTCGGCTCAGGCTTTCCCCCAAAAACATTCAATCAGAGCACGGACGCGCTGCAACTCACTTTGCACACTCGGTTCTAGGTTCTGAACAATCATTTTGACGGTTCCTAAGGCTTGGTCATGCAATTCCACAAGATCTTCAAGCGGCTGAAGCAGTATGACTCCATCACGCTTCGGGTGGGGCCCAACGAGGTGAGCACCGCAAGTATGACCAGGCTGGTGAAGAACCACAGGAAGTGGGTGGCGAAGATTATGATTTTGCTCCTGGACTTGGCAGGCTTCAAGGTGGGAGCAGAACGGCGTTGGAGAGCGTATTAATATCTACTGTATAGATTTCTGATGTTAGGGTAGAATTGTCCTAAACTAGCACAAAATTGGCAACTTAGCTTGTGTCACACAAAAGCACGGTGTGACTGGCCTTTCACATCACCGTCCTGCTGGGTGGATATCCTAGCCAACCTTTCCAGGATACGGTGACTTGGGATGGTTTCCTGTATGTCACCATGCAGTTTTGCGCATTGTCCAAGCTGGAGCTATGCCAAGTGATGTTCTATGTGGTGTGCAAGGAGATGAAGAGCTGGACAGTACACTACCTCACCAGTAGTCAACTGGAGGAGTTCTATGATGATTACTACACTTGTCCAGTGGCTGCCTTCAACACGAACACCATTGACTTTGCGAAGCTGCCCTTAGCCAAGTATCGAATGCAGGACCTGTGTTAGAAACGGGTTTCGCGCGAACATCACTCCTGAGCAGCAACCAAAATGATATTGGAAGTCATTTGCCAGGTTCTATCCACATGTCTCACACAACCAGGCCACACAAGCCAGTTGCAAACCTCTTCCGAGTCTAACACCATGCGCACATCTTCACGACTGCTGGGCAGAGTGTGGCAGCTCACGCATGAGCTGCCTGGTTGCCCAGGACTTTATTGAGCTATGTTATAGATTCAGCCAGCTGGTGAATCCCTGCATGCACCTCCAGAGGTCTTTGCAGCAGTCGCTACCTTCACTCAGGTTTTGGAGACTTGTGCTGCAATCCAGCTTGCTTCTTTAACTGGAGTCCTGAAGATATTCCGCAACCTGCTACCCAACCGCATGAAAGAGTGGGGGACCCACCTAGAACTTACATAACTTGCTGCACTTTGTGATATCTACGTTCGTGGCTACCCTGTTCGTTCTCGAAATGTATAACGAGCCACAGGAACTTGTAGATGAGCTGCTAAAGGGCCTTCGAAGATTCTGACATGAAGTAGCATGATGAAGCGAACTGATGATGAAGGTCGGACTACGACACTGTGAAGGTGTACAACCGCAAGATCTCCATCGACGCTTGCTGGCATCAACAAGCAACAACTGGCCACATGAGTTCTATACAGCCAGATTGAGCGCAACAAGCTCCCCAGGTTTTGACACTTTTAGGAAGGATTCTGAGACAACGCCTGAGAGAGATGGGAGATAACTTATGGAATGCCACAGCTTCACGACCTCAACATGGAGGAAAGTGAGATCTTTGAGATTCGGTCTCATGATGTCTCATGTCTCATTACATCATAACTTAACTGCCACATGGTCCAAACCGCCCTGTCCCGGGCGGTCCAAACCGTGGAGTTTCTGAGGACTTCTTCCGCTTCAAGAAGGCCACTGGCTGACAGGGGACAGATCGTTCTTTTGTTTGTGTGTTTTTGGGCTGTGGGTCACAACCCAACAAAATCACGTGAAAGTTGACATCGGTGGCCCATTCCGTTCATTTTGGGTGTGAGATGAGGTGACCAACATCCTGGAGCTGATGCAGCGTCATGCTGGCAGAAGTTTGGGGCCAATACAGCAGCATCGATTTACGATGAATGAGCAGTTCATGATCGTCGAGAACTCCAGTCCAGGCTTCAAGGATGACACTGGGCTTTCGAAAAGCTTTGTACATCATATTGGACACCTTAAGTGGGTTGGTAGACTGCTTTCCACACAGATTAAGCTAATGTATGTAGTATACTGCACAGTATCTTCTAAAGTGTACTTCTACATGTCTACATTTGAACATTATACTGACTCGTGTTTTTACTGCTTTCCACACACACATATGTATATATATATTGATTATGCTGATTTTGGCCGTTGCAAGTTACAAGTGTTTAACTTGTGGTGAGCTCGCCTGTTGATGACCCTCCCTGCCACTGAGGACATTGAAAAGTTCAGAGCCTATGCTCCTTGACCTTTTGAAAGCTCTTTGTAGGAACATAGGCCCCGATTTTTCCAAAATCCCCCCGATGATTGAAGCTTATAGATTTGCCCACGACATTTCAGCACCTAACTGCAAGACCGTGACTAGTGTGTTCTAAATGCCGACTCCTTGAGTTGGCAGGTGCTGAAGGCCATGGATCTTTGCAGACCTGCCGAGTGTGGCATTTTGCCTTTGCCCACGCTGGGGGTGCGTCCGCCCGAAAAGCAAAAGCTGATCCGAGAAATGCGCTTGCCTAAGTGGATGCATGAGCATTTGGAGCAAAACGAGGCACCCGGCGCCTCGGACCAGGGCGAATCCATGTGCGAGTGTCTTGCGATGTTTGGCGAACCCCGTGGGAAACAGTTTACAATTCATAATCTTTCTCACAGAATTGGAGAAGGTCAGCTGGGCTAAGGACCTCATGGCGGACAAGCTCTGGGCCATGCTGCATTTTTGGAAGCCAGCAAACGGGAGAAGGTCCCGTCGATGCTTTCGGCTGCCCAGATGCCCAAGTCTGTGGAAGAAGCGGAGGAGCTGTCACACATACTGTCTATATATATATATATGATTATATACATACATATATATATATATATCATTTTTTTTTTAATTTTTGCATGTCATAAATGCAAAATGTATATATCTATACATATAAATGCCTATGCTCAGCAGGCTGAAGTCCATCCCGGTGGAGAGACTGACATGGTATTTCGACGTATTTTGTTTTCAGTTTTCAGGGTGCCGTGTGTTCTTGAAGCACCGCAGAGGAGTTGATCCGCTCCACCTTCGGGGAAATGGCTCAGCAAAGCAAGGTGAAGCAGATCGCTGCCAACTTGTACCTCGAAGCATTGCTGGGCGATGCAGCAAGGGGCTCCTCACACCTCCGAAGCTTCTTCATGCTGCTTCAGAATGTGTGGTCTATAACTATAACAGTCTACAGTATATATAATGGCCTATAATTACTGAGCCCCTTAATTCCCCTTAGATGGGCATGTTCCAACATGACCGGAACGGCTCTTCAGGTTCCATCACGCCGCAAAGCCTCCCAGCGAAGACAGCCGAGTCAAATCAGTAGTTCGAAGTCAAGAGCTCGAGTTCATTCGGATGCTTGCCTGACTTTCACAGCGTTTCGACATATTTTGACTCATCGCTAGCAAAACCCAAAATCTGCATTGACCGAGGATGAGCCGGCAAGACCTGGAGCCCCCAAACCTGGTACGTGGCTTGACTAGGAAATGTGTATGCACCTGTTGACCGGGCCTTGTGTTTTGCATGGAAAGAGCCCTTTTCCTTAAACATTTTAAACCACTGAGAGGTTGACAAAGAGCAGGAAGAGATTTATTTCAGTTGGGCTAAGGTTCGATGTACAGACTTTTTCAGGAAGAATTGATTAACAGAACTCCAAAGGAGCCAACAGCTTGATGCACGTGCGAATATATAGGTGTTCTTAGCTAGCATGCTGTGCAGTGCAGTAGTGCGGGGCACTGTACAGTGCTTTCGTTCGTGACCAAGAGTTTCACTTTCACCCTCGCCTTTTTTGGCGTACAATCACAGATGAAATCTGCCCAAGGCAGCTGTGCATTGACCTCAAACAACGCAACATCGGTTCTCATGCAAAATTACAGGGCTGCAAGAGATGATTTTGCCTTGCGCCATGCAGCTACAATAATCTGATCAGAATCTGATCCGTTTTTCGGGGGCTGATGGCCACTCCTGTTTTGCCATGGATGAATAGAGCCTGATGCTACCCCTAAGTCAAGAGTCCTCAATGGGGTTCTGGACAACAGACCGTGATGTATAGAAAGCAGAAACCAGGGGTTGAAGTTTCAATCCAGGATAAACAATAGACGCCCTGAAATCACATGGCCAGGAACCGGCAAAGCTCGGAAGCAGATTGATCACTCGCATCCTGGCGGTGGTTTGCTTGTGCAGATGATGCAGTACTTCTGTTTGCCTTTACCTGGGACTTCACATGGATTGGAGGACTTTCTGCCCCTCACAGAGCCCACCCGAACCCAATGGTCGACTGTCGGAGTCGCACGCGTTTTTGAGTCGTTTAATGATTTCACGTGCTCAGAGGCACGGTGGAGGGACCCAGATGCCTGACATGAGCCGCTTTGGGCCACTTGGCAGAAGGGCCGTCCATGGGGCTGTGCCGGGGTGTGACAAGGGGGACCAAAAGCGGAGCATAGCGGAGCGCATGATCTGTGGAAGGCGGGGTGGTGCAATGACAACCACCTCAACGTGGGACTGGGACAAAGACTACGAGGATGAACGGACAATCCGTGATGCCTGGGCCATCCGGTTTCCGGACGCGCTTTGCTCGTACGAAGGAAGAGCGAGAGCCTCCGAGCGGCTGGTGGCCTCACACCACGACGGCCAGGGCCGCAAGCCAGTGAGGACTTTGTCATGCAAATGTAGCACATGCGTATGGTGAACACGGGTGAAAAGACCACATATATATATACACATGTATAGTGTATATATATATATAACTATTCTATATATACTATATGCCGGCCTTACTCGTTGCCTTGAGGCCTGTCCCTCCACGATTCTGACAGGGTGGTGGTGCGAGGTGTTCGCAGAGTGAACCTAGGACCTCAGCTCCAAACTCCTAACCAAAGAATGTTATGGCAAACAATGGAAGAGTTCATGCCATTCGGATTTCAAACACGCTTGAATTTGCCTCAGCAAGAGGGCTTCACTCGCTTCTCTCCCAGGACGCTGGTTTTAGACCTCCTGGGAACCAGGTGTGTAGTTCAAGGTTCAGGAGCAATCGCACAACACCAATTCTGTACTGGGGGCAGCCTCAAAGCCCAAAGACCAGGATTTGGAACATGGACAGCTTAGCAGCTGGAAGCTCTTGCACCTTACTGCCGTGTGAAAGCACATGAGCATGCAAGCTGTTTGAAGCCCTGGTGAGGTTGAGATTTCCTCACTCAAAAAAGATATCGAATTCATGGAGCGGGGTTGTAACGGGAAACATGGGGTGAAGCGGTTGGTGCAGCGAGCCCAAAGGCAGAAGCCCGTACTCATGGCCCCTTGAGGAAGGTTCATGAACGTCATGGAAGCTCGTTCTTTCGGCTCCCTGGTCCCGTGCATGTCGCAAGACCTGCAAGCTGATCAAGATGGTCAGTTCAAAGGATGGGGAGGCCTTGTCTGAAAAAGCTCGGGATGGTGGAGCTTGAGTGACTTGGTTGCTTCCCCTAAGTTGGGAAGTTTCTTAGCAGGAACCTGACGAGACTTTTAGTCAGGCCTGTGAGGTTGGATGAGGTCTGGTTGACGGTCGTGGAGACTTTGCTTTAAAGCATGGGCCTTTGCTGTCAATGGTTGCAGTGTAACATTTGCTTGGATGCTTGGAGTGGCCTCTTATTGTTGAAGGATCCTGCCTGACTATCAAAGCTCAGGATTCAATGGTGAAAAGCTTTCGTGTGCTCTTGGACCGTTGGCATAAAACTTGCTCAAGGCTGTAGCCCCACTGGCCGTTCACCCAACTGAAACAAGGATATGAGCAGAAGACAAAGATATGGCTCCATTCCAAACTCAACAACAAATCCAACACTTTGGAAAAGCTACACTAGCGATCCCCACTGCTCATCGACATGATCATCACCATCAACAGTGTGGCTTCTTGAATTGTTAACGCGCACACACACACACAGATATATACGGTGTGTATATATATACACTGCACACACATATATATTCTCATATGCCTGCACACAAACAAAAGGTTGTACTTACTTGGCCTTGTGGGACAAACACCCGTTGATGCTATTTCTTTTGGTGTGCGGGGGCAGAGGAACCAAAGAGGCGCACGGTAGTTCAAGAGCTTGCATGATATCATCATGGTGCAATGGCCAAGCGGCGCAAGACCAGTGACAAAGTAGCATGGACAGCAACTTGGCATGGACAGCATTTTGTGCGTAAGAGCTTGTAGTCACTTGTAGTCCAGGGAAGCTGATGCTAGCTTTCTTTGCGACCAGTTCACTGAGCATTGAGCTGGCGGCTCATCCGGTTTTGACTGGTCTAAGAGATCCTATTTCTTCTTTGCTTCAGCTCTCCATTATCAAATAGATGAGTCAGGCCCAGATTTGGCCGCAATGCAGGTTGGTATTTTGCTCTTGCTTACCAGTATTTCATGTACACTGATCATCGCCGCTCGGCCTGAGACGTTAGAGCTTCAACTAGACCACAACATGCTCATGACCGAAAACAGGGCGTTCGTTCTGCGGCTTCTGGACACACAAATGAACACAACGACCAAACGCACGCACACATGCACGCACTCACGGCAAGAAATCGGCTTGAGCTTCGGCCAGTTTTGAAGATTGGCAAAACGCACTTGAGGTTTTGCACAATGCTGGCTACGATCAGGCAGGTCTGCTGGCACAGTTTGCCATGCCATTGCCATGCTAGTCGGACAGCAGTTCCCAAACTGATCACGCTTTTGACAAATGCTCCACCAAATCCTTGAGAGAGACACGCGAACACACACACACATATGATATGTATATCCATGTATATCCGACATACAGCTTTCCCCTTCAAGACACTCACAGCATGGCATCCAGGGCTTTTCAGATCTTTTCGGCAGCCTTGTGTAGAGGCTGCGGCTTTCCCTCACCGCTTGGGGAACGCGGAGCGGAAAGGCCTGTCAGCAGTGCCCCGTCATTCCAAGGAGTTAGCATCCAGCGCTTGTCTTTGTCAGCAACCGTCAGCAATCACTGTCACCTCAACCTCCTGCTAGCTTCTGGGACATTCTGTGATCTTTTAGACCGTAAGTACGTAAAGCAAGCCTGTTCATTGAGACATTCACGTTAGGCCCTCCCAGCATTGAGATGCTGGATGTAGCAACCCAAAGACTCTTGCAAAGACCCATCCACAACCACCAAGATTATTGCAGTGCCCGGCGGCCGACTGGCACCTGCGCCCTGTGGTGAGAAGGGGGTGTTGCTCCAGAAGAGCATTGAGGCGAGGAGGGCACCGGGCGGCTAAGGGCGGCTGGGTGATGAAAGCTCCTGTGCTACTCAGCCTTTCTGAGCTCAATTTGTTGAGCTATTTAAGCACATCTACATGCAGACCTGATCCCACCTAACCAGCCTGAAGTCTAGAGGAGGACGTGGTTACAAAACGTCACATTTGCTTCAAAAGGCAGGTTTGCCCAGCTGGCCAAACTGGATATCCCATTTCACTGGTAGCTTTGTTAGACGAGTGAAAACTTCGGTCCACCTGCGTGAGGGGAGTGATGCGGCCACCATCCTGCCCAGCAAGGTGGCAGACGACCACCATCCTGCCCGGAAAGGTAAATGTGAAACCACATGTGCGCAGACAAGAGCGAATGAAAAGACATGAAAGGAGGGACATGAACGGGACCAAGGTGTGACAAGTTGCAATGACGGAAAGCCGAGTGAACATGAACAACCAGCGAGTCACGTCTCTATTATTTTGAAACCTGGGGCACCTGAAAGCCTAGATTGCGTGTGAATGTGCACGTACACGCTAGGGTCAGAGCAAGTGTGCGTGCAAGAGAAAGGGCGTGAAACGACAAGACATGAAGACGGATAAGACACGAAAGAAAAGGAAGACCGGTGTGTAAGTGTAGTTGCAAAGAAAGAGGGAAGCCAGGTGAATGGGGACAAACAAAGCAAAAAAGAAACCGAACCTCAGACTCATAGTCAAAGCTTGGGGCACCTTGACTATTTTAGTTTGTGGGCACACCGGGCACATAGTTAAGGCCCGGGCAGGAATCCAATGATCCGACTTGAACGCATGGCCGCTGTCGCCAACTTGAGCTGTGTCCAGAAAGGACTGGCACCTACGCCATACGGCCTGCTCCATGAATTCCCTGTTGACTGCTCTTGATCAACAAACACATGTCCTAAGACTCTTAAGCCCGCTTTGGGCACGTTCCACTCCGGCCGGGTGGATGCGACGACTCCTGGTTTGACCAGGACCACGGAGAGCATTGCTTCTGGCTCACTCCGGGCCCTCGCGAGGAGAGACACGCTCGGGATAAAGTACGTACAATATGAATGCCACATGCCACACGCCAACCTAAGTGAAAAACGCCTAAGACTAAGAAGCCAGGTGTTGGGAGTCCGGCCATGAAACCTTCAAGACCCGAAAGTACGAAGTCTCAAGTTGCAAGTCTCAAGTTCTGGAAAGCCAAAGTCCCAAAAGTGCGTGTGTGCAGTGCAGACCCAGACCTGATCCTACCTGACCAGCCTACGTATGTCTCGAGGCGGACGTGGTTACAAAGCGTCACACTTGTTTTCAAAGTAGGTACGTCCAGCTGGCCAAACTGTCCCAGCGAAATGCTGTGTTCCCTTGCTGAAAACTTTCGATAAGATGCCAAAAGGCAACCTGTGACTCCAAGGTGCCCACAAACACACACACACACACAACTGACTGCACTTCTTCGCATGCGCACGCCCTGCGTGTCGGTGTACGCCGTGTTGCACTCTCAAGGCGTTGATGGAATCAGCGGGCGATCTTTTGATCGAGATCATCGTCGTGGATGATGGCACATCCCCGGCACTGGAAAGGCCCGAATTCACAGGTGCGGCCTTGGTTTTTGGAGTCGGGGCCGCCCCTGAAGCCTTGCAAAGTTATTAAAGCCAGCAGCCCAAATCCCGACTGGAAGCCACCTGCGGTCAGTAGAAACAATCAAACAGGAGTAGGAGTAGGAGTGTGAAGATACAGGAGTGGGTCAAGTCAAGTCACAATACTTTTTGGGACGGCTTTTGAGAACTGGAGCATGTGGCATTTTGTTTCCCTGAATGTCCGCCGTTGAAAGGCATGGCCTGGACTGACCTGAAGGTGCCCCGTGCAGAGGAGAGCTCGATCAGATTCACTGTGGACTCAGCATGACGCAGCCACACACAACATGATGGGGACCTCCTTCAGAATGATGAAGCCCTCGCGGCATCCTTCAAACACCTTGTGCAGCTCCACAAGCCAAGCAGCCAAAGGATGCCAAACATGGTAAGGTGGTTGGAACAATTGTTTGTATACTGTAGTCACCACATCCTGAAGGGCCTTGAAACTGCGGGCCATTCTTGGGTCACAACATGTCAACATTTGCAGGAGCCAGATCTTTTTCAAGGAATTCGCCTGCTGTGGCTCCGCTTCGAGAGTCCGCAGGGCATGGCCCTGGCTCGGACCACGGGCGGTGACGCTGCCCGAGGAGAGGCCATAGCCATTCGGCTCATGATGGGTGCTCAGATTGCTAGAGGCTTTCTGCATGGGTGAGCAAATCAACAATTGCTGATGATGGCTGGTGCACAGCTTCATTCACAGCATTTCACAACCCACTGTGATTGGTCGGAATGTTTCAACAAAAAGTTCCATTCTGTTTCATTTGCAGCTTCACCTCCAGCACTTTGCAGCTTGGTTTAGGCTTTCTTTGACTGCTACGTGAAGCCAGAGCCGGGTTGGGCCACGCCGGCCGTGGAGCTCTTGCGACGCAGTCCAAGATCAGTGGTGGTCCCGGCGCTCCGTGATCTGGATCTGGAGAGTCCCTCGTCGGAAAGAAACGAAAAGGAAGCAGGACCACCAGGTGGTGCAGTTCATGTTGTTTCGAAAAGCATGTTAAACACTGGCCGCACCACTGCACCGGCCTTGTGGGATTTTCAACATGTGTTTTCTCGCCTAGGCAGGTGTTTGATACGGCCAGGTTTGGAAGGTTGATTGAAAGAGGAGGGTTACTAGCATCCAGACTGAAATTTGGTTTGCCTGGATTTCTGTCCCACCACCTTGAGGCTGGGAGTCTAGTGGGCCTTTGCGGTTCTTTGACAATGTGTTCACTTGGGAGGTGCCGTGGGTGCGGCGGGCATTGGTTTCAGCGCTTTCAGTCCGCTTTGTAGACTTTGAAAAAGGTCCATTAAGAGAGCTTGAAGAGCAAGATGTTTCATCAGGACAACATCCTGCTTTGAGGTCCCTCCAAGATTCGGTCCAAGATATGCCTTTAGTCCAAGTCCATGTTGTTTCAAGCAAGCCCAGGATCCTCGAGCATGCAACATCACCATGTTCAATTTTTGTGGAAGCACTATGCCAAGTCCATCCTCCGCACATGTATATATTACGGTATATTACTGTATATATATATATATAAATAGATGCCTACCCTAGACGAATGCCGCCACGTGTGTGTGTGTGTGTGTGAGTGTGTGTACGCACAATCATATACATATAGTTATACATATGTACACAGGCACCTGCTGACCTACTGCAATGAGAGTTTATTAAAGGTTCTTTGACGCATGTTGAGGCAGAGACTGTGCAGCTCTACTTTGACGCGGCGTCGCTCCTCTAGACGTGAGAGTGTATAGATGGGAATGATAGGGAGTCGTTGATTTGAGTTCCTGTGAAATGTCCTGTGGTCCTGTCATTGGTTGAAAGGAACTTCACGTCCCATCCAAATTTGTGACTCAGCACACTGATATCACCGATGGTATTTGAGGAGGGTCACGTGGCCTCACCCTATTGACCAGAGCAACGTCCTGATTTTCAGCTGGACCTGGTGGCAGGACATGCTGTGAAGAAGAATGTTAACAACGAGCAGCTATATAGTTTATGCCTTTTCATTGATGAATTGGGACATCTCCTGGCAGGGTTGGAGATGAAAGCAGTTTTGTATACAATTATCTACATATGTCCTGGCCCATGATCAGTACTGTAAGCGCACCCCGGCTTTGCAATGGCGCAGGAGATTGGTGGCTATGACAAGATGATGAAAGGCTACTGGGCCGCAATTTGAAGTGTGGCCCTCTGGGGTGAAACGCAGACCTTTTCTAGGCTGTTGAGCTCTTGCTCTTCAGGCTCATCCGTCTTGCTCACTGAGAACATCGAGTGCCTCAGCTCTTGAAAGAACGGAGTCCCGTGTACAACGGTGTACACCGTTGGTTTAAGATTTAGAGTGTAGATTCAACCAACCTTAAACGACACCGTCACTTTTCTTGCCCTGCGTGCTCGCTGGTGCAGGCTGTCCCTGCGAGTGCTGTTGTGTGGTGGCCACTTCGTGCCAATGAACGAGAGCGTCATTGGCTTTTGTCATCAGTGGCCTGGTGCAAACTTCGGGCAGATTTGGGCAGAATTGGCTAGGTCACACTTACCAACCTGCTACTACCGTCAGCATGTGACATGTGTGTGTGCACCAATGAGGGTCCGGCTGATTCCAACTCGATCGCCCCACTTGCAGCTGGTCTTGGAACATTGCCAACTGTTGATTCCCTTGAGGAAGCATGGCACTTTGCACCATGAGCGGCTGGATATGCTCTTCAATCAGGCCCTGGTGGCTTGTGTTTTTCTATGTTCCCTTTGTGAAAAAGTCGTTACTGAGGTCTGTGAGGCTGCAACGATTGAAGAAATCTTTGTAGAAGTCTGATCATGATTCGCATCTTTCTGGCAGGCCCGGATTATCGAGGCCTGGTTTGGCCCCTGGACCGACGAGGCCCTGTAAGATAGATGCGGTTGTTGCTCCTTGTTGCCGTTCCTTAAATCAGAAGACTTCCGATCAAAATTGCAGAAACGGAGTCTGTTCATTTGGGAGGGACATGAAAAAGAGACCTGGATCTGTAGCATGACAGAAATCCTCAAAATCACATTGTTGTACGAATCTGATGCGTCTAGGCCTTAAAGAACCCTCGGTTTGCAGAGCTGCGCCCGGGCTCCTCGGGGGATTTGTCCGAGATACGATCCATGCAGGCGTGGACAAGGGTTTTATGACATGGTTTTGTTCTCTTCTTTGGAGGAGTTCCAGCGAACTGCTCCATGATATATGCATCAATGATGCATACCCCCAAATATCTTATATATTCTTATACATTGTTACAGTAGACGGATCTAGGAGAGGTTCCCGTCGCCCTGTTCTGATTCCCCAACTGGGCAAATTCGATGCCTCGAGATGTGCCCGTTGGGTGATGTGCTGGACGCCTTTGCTCTCCCCGCTGTGAGGAGAACTTGAAGTGTTCAGGCTCGTGAGTGAACGGAGCGTTTGGGAGGTTTGTGCTGTTTCGAGTCAGCATGGGTCAGCTTTCAGCAAACTTGCAAAGGTTCCAAGTTGATTGTCAGGCTTGGAGCAGTTTCTCGTGCCTTGGCTGACCTTAATAACCAACACAGTACTGTAAGACGCTATCAGCCAGCTGCTGCCAGTCTTACCATTCTACCAGGGGCCTTGGCCCTTTCTTTTTTTGAACCGTCGCCCTTGCTTCCCTTCATTGAAGGAGATTTATCGAATGCCGCTCGAGATTCTTGGACTTCTTCCACATGAGGTGTCACGCTGAGCTGCTGCCAGCGGAACATGATGCCTAACAATCCTGAGTTTGCACAGCCTTTCAAATACATCATGCTGGACCAATTGACGGGAGATGGCAGCGTTTTGACACGTGCTTCTTTTGCCCTGGATGACAGGTCTACTCTTTGCGGGAACGGTCTACAGGAGGGCTTCCGAAAGAGCATTGAAGCTAAGGCAAAGAACATCTAAAGCTAAGTCTGGTGATGGTCCTGGTGCCACTTCCTCATCACATTCGCACAGACTGCCACAACTCAGCGCCGCAGCAGCGACACAATGCTCGGCCTATACATGTGCTTTGTGTGCAGCCAATGAACATCATTTGGTGTTTCGTTTGGACTTTTTGATAAGGGATGATTAACATGTTTGTGGGCTGACATGGCAAGATTCTTGGCGTACGCTTTGTCTTGGGCTTGTAGAATCGTGCCGGGGTTAGCATGGTAGATCATGCTGTCCATCCCCAAGGCTGTTGAGCTCTTTGTCAAGTTGAGCTGTCTGCTGAACAAGCCCCCCAAATAATCATTAGAGAATGTCTTACTTGGTCATATTACATATATAGGCCGGCACATTCCTTGGACGTAGGAGCCCTTCCACGAAGTAGAGCAGAAGCCGACATGTGTAGCTCACATTTGGGACTCAGCGGACAACCTCCACATCTTTGCTTCGTTTGATATTGTCCCAGTGTTCAGGACTTTGCTTGCAAGAGTGGAGCAAAGATGAATGGGCCTTAAGCAAGTGCGATGACTCAGCTAGAGGCTCGTCTTACTGTCGAGTTATGCCGAGCCTTTGTTGCAGTGTTGCAGACGAGGTTTCAAAACAATTGTGTTTCGGGCGCCGAACCTGTGTGTTTCCAGAGATTCGTGACAGAAAGCGGACACTGCAGCTTTCCATCATACCATACATGTTTACATTCCCCACATCTCTGTGTGGGGTTCTAGTTTTGTTGGCTGCCATCCCGCCCGCATCCGCCCTTCCTTCCTTCCCTCCGTCCTCCTCGCCCCCTCCTCCACTCACTCGCTCACTCGCTCGCTCACTCGCTCGCTCCCTCGCTCACTCGCTCACTCGCTCGCTCGCTCGCTCACTCCCTCACTCACTC